CCTATCAGAATCCATGCTAAATAACACTTAATTACTTGATCCTTTTCTCTCTGAAGTCAGGGAGATGTTGGCATTTATTTCAAAAGAAGCAGCTCCACGGCTTTGATATCTCTCATGTATTTCTCAGAGTACTCACTTCTGCAAATCAAAGCAGAATCAAGAGCTTATTTTTTTATTCCTTTGAGCACACAAACCTAAGTGTCAGAAATGAAAATATAAAATATCTGTGGAATAAACTCTGATGACTTAAGATAGATAAAATGAAGGCTTTCAGTGGTATTCCTAAGAGTAATAATAAAAACTTATGAAAGAGTGAATCTTTTAACAGCTGAATAAAAGACTGGCTACAAGAAGGAAAGAAAAAGATGGAACTCTTTGTAATAGTGGTTTATTCCACCCTTCATAATGTCCACCTTATTTGGTTATCTGTTAAATCTTCTCCAAGTTCAGATGCACTTTGCAAGATGATAATGTTTCCCATGAAAGGTTTAAAACTTCTTAGGGTTGTGACTGTTGCTTTTCAGAACTCAAAAAATGTTTCCAGAATTTGTAATTACAACATCACCAGAGCTGACATTATTGCTTAATGAAGTAAAATGACACTGAGACCTGACTCCATTATAGGAATAAATACAGGATAAATAAATTCATGCCTTACTAAAATTAAAGTTGTCCTGGGGATTCTGAGATTCATTTCTTCTGCCTTCCAAGAAGGAGTGTTTTTGATTCATGAGCTGAAGATTTGGAAGAGGCTGGTGCTGGCTAGCTGGTGTGTCTCTCTATGAAACTGCATTTAGCAAAGTGTCTTAGGAAATGAATTTATTAGAGACGAATGATACGAAGAGCAAGAGATCATCCTGTGCCCATTTGGTATATTATTAGAAATTTCACAGCAGTAAAAATCCTTTTTAGCCTCAGGGAGATCCAGCCAGCAAAGACATGTGACCCAGAGTGCAATTTCCTGGATTTGTGTCAGTGACATGCATCAAACAAACTCCAACTCCTGTTCGTTAAAAAAGCAGAGAGAAAACACGTGGGAAACTCAAACCACCCGCACACCGTACCCAAAATGCAAAGGAGAACATGTGTGTGGAGGGAAGAAGGGCCAGTGCTGGCAGCCTGGGGATGTGCTGCTGCCCAGCTGTGCCCAGGGATGGCTTCTGGCAGCTCTCAGGGGCCAGAGGCAAACACAAACCTGGCAGCTGGGAGAGCCCTGCTCCTGCAGCACTGGGTGTGTGAGAAGCTGCTCGCAGGAGGAAGGCAGGATGATGAAGGACACAGCCCCAAACTTCCCTAACAAATGAACTCGGAGGCTCCCGTGGGAAAAAGGCTGGAAAATTAGCTTCACAGCTACTTCTGTCTGCTTTTGCTAATGAATCAAAGTGTTTTGAACTCTGCCTCAACAGACCTGTATAAATCTGTTAATGTGCTTGGAAACTTGAACAGAAATGTTGCTTAGAAGGCGTCTCACACTGGAATAGTTCCTTTATATGCTAAGGGTATTATCTGATACACCCAGGATTGGGTAGGAAGGGCTATTTCCTGCACATGTGGTAAGAAAATCCAGCTATTCCAGGCCCCAGGAAAATTACATGCTCCCACGTAAAGAACCCAGCTTCCTTTCCTTAGATCTGTTTTCTTTTCCTTACTCTATAAAGCAAAATTCCTTTAAAAGAGCCACCCTAATGGCTTCCTATGCTGATACAAACCAGAAAGCATTAATGAAGGAAAAGAACATGAAAATCTGTATTTAACTACTGATTCTCACCAGAGAGGAGTAGGATGAGCAACTTCAAACCAAGAGCAGGAAAATATCCACAGTGGCCTTCCACATGATGCAGCAGAATGTCATTTCATCCTCACAACCCCCAAAAGGGAAGGAAGTCCTGTTACCCTCACCTTACTACAGACCACAAACTGATACATGATGAACTCTCCAAGTCTTAAAGAAAATAAATGATTGAGGAGGGAGCTCAGCATGGTCTCCTGAGAGCCAGGCCACAACCAGGCCATCCCTCTTGTATGAAAAATTCAGTTAACTTTGAAGACATCCACAGTTCAGCAGAAAGGATCAGACAGATGTTTGAATACCACTAGAAGGGCTTTTATTGTGTGGGATATGTAGATAGGAATCCATTTACAAGAATTTGAATAGATAGGCTTGCACACGTCAGGGAAGGGAGTGCTGCACATCACCAGCCTCAGAGAGGGATCAACATCCTGCAGCAGAGTTAGCAAGCACGGCTTTGTACCACTTAATAGGGCTGGATTGTTTTTTTAAAGGACCATTCTTATTCCTTTTTCCTTTCCTTTCAGTGGAGGAGAACAGGCTAGGATTGAACAAAAAGATTACAAAGCAGCCACATTGTTAGACAAAGGTTAAGGACCTTGGTCTCAGGGGAAGGGGAGGCTGTGCAGCACCCAGGGAAGTTGCTATTTCCCTTTGGGCTTGTGTGTCCCACACCTCAAAGACGGGCCAGGCTATCCCACAGAGCCCCATGTCATGACAGACTGGTGGCTCCTGATTAATGCTCATTAATCTAATCTTTAGCTGATGCGTGCTCATCTTAGCCCAGAGTGACTGGGCTGTATCTCACTTGTGTTTTCCTTTGGAGAGAGGGAGGTGTGACTGTGAATAAAGAATTTCTTCATTCTGGTTAAGTAACATCTAATGAAACATAATTCTTAAAGATGGTTGTGATAATAGTTTAGTGTGAGTTATACAGTCATCTTTCAGCCACTTTCAAAGCAGTTAAGGACAATGAGTAAATACACTAATTATAGTTAATAAACAGCAAGGTTCCTGCTGGTCTTCACGCAGCCCCTGATGATGCAGAACAATTTTGGAAGAACTTGGCAGGAAAGGGTTATTTTTTTATGGACTTGTTAACTTTTTCTGACAGGCATGGAGGGAAGAGGACAGTTGTGAAGGTGAACAGACACGTGGGAGCTGTAAGTGCAGTAAGCACCTTTCCTAACCAAAAAGGAACATCCATCCTAAAGGAAGAAGTTTTGGAATATTTCCCAGTAGAGGCTAAATTATTTCAGACTTTATATTTTCTGGGTTGTCTGGCTCTCAGTGCTGGACCCAAACTAGCAAGACTTCGTAAAAATCATATAAATATGATTTCTTTCATAGACACATCCCTCTTTGCTAACTACAGATCACTTTTTTTCTGGAAGTTTGCCAACAGGGGAACATTCCGTGTTCTTGCCTTCCCTTAGGCTGCTAAAGATGAGTCTTTTAGCTAGCAAGGAAATGGTATTCACCATTATTTCTATATTCCTGCTTTTATCACTTTGGGGAAAAGTACAGTCAATCTCCTGAAGTTAAACCAGCAGACAAACATACTGCAATTCAAAGTTAATCATTGAGTAAAACTTGGGTTCAGCCAAGCACCATGCACAAAACCAGAAGACAAATTTCAACCCAAATGAGAGGTATTTTCTACAACCAAATATTTGTCTTAAGATCAATATATTATTTTAGAGAGTTGGCTAAACCGCTTGTGTCACCAGAGATTGTTACATTCAGCTGTGCATGGATGACAAGGGCCACATTCACACTTGTTTTCTCTCCACGTTATCCAAAAGCCGATTCAAATTTGGCTCGAGTGTGCCAAGGGTCAGAGCTCATGTCACGGGGCCAGGGTCCCGCTGCCTTGTCACCTTCTGCAGCGTCACCTCGGTGTGGTGACTGTGTGGGACACCCCAAAGTGTCTCCAGCTGCCTGAGGGTACCTACAAAGAGGGCCTGCTGGGGCTTTTGTCAAGCCTTTAGGTTAGCACACAGGGCTTTAAATTTGCCCTTTCTGTTGCAGCACTTCAAGCGACTCCTGATTGTTTTTGTTCCTTTTTCATACAACTTCCCATCAGCGATATGGCACTGTCGATGGGAGCCGGGGAGTCGCAGTGCCGCCGCTGTTAGCTGAACTTTCCCCCCAGTGCTTTTCTGCTGGCCTGCCGACCGAAACCTTCCTGAAGCTGCCGAACATGTGACGACACTGACGCTTCCTCCAAACCAGAGCCCGAGCAGCGGAGAGGAAGCGCCCCGAGCTCCTCACGGAGATCCCGCACGGCAGGTGGGGCCCGAAAACACCCGGCGGCCGTGGGAAAATCCCCGCAGCAGCTCCGAGCGGGGAACCAGCACCTTGGAGGAGCGGCGCCGCCGCCACAGCCGCTGGGGCCGCGGGACGGGCGGAGCAGGTGCGGCGGGGCCGGGAGCGGGAGCCGCGGGCTGGCACCGGGCACGGGGTCCCTCCCTGGGCTGGCACCGGGCACGGGGTCCCTCCCTGGGCTGGCACCGGGCACGGGGTCCCTCCCTGGGCTGGCACCGGGCACGGGGTCCCTCCCTGGGCTGGCACCGTGCACGGGGTCCCTCCCTGGGCTGGCACCGGGCACGGGTCCCTCCGCGGGCGGGAGGGAGCGAGGGAGGGAGCGCCCTGAGCCGGGCTCTGCTCCGCGGCCGGCGGTGTTCGGGGCGGCTGGGTTGTGCCGAGCCGGGCAGTGCCGAGCCGGGCAGTGCCGAGCCGAGCCGGGCAGTGCCGAGCCGAGCCGGGCAGTGCCGAGCCGGGCAGTGCCGAGCCGAGCCGGGCAGTGCCGAGCCGAGCCGGGCTGAGCCGAGCCGAGCCGGGCAGTGCCGAGCCGGGCAGTGCCGAGCCGAGCCGGGCAGTGCCGAGCCGAGCCGGGCAGTGCCGAGCCGAGCCGGGCAGAGCCGAGCCGAGCCCCACGGGCGGGTCCGGGCGCCGGACTCCCGGAGCCCTCCCGGAGCCCTCCCGGAGCTCTCCCGGAGCCCTCCCGGAGCTCTCCCGGAGCCCTCCCGGAGCCCTCCCGGAGCCCTCCCGGAGCCCTCCCGGAGCTCTCCCGGAGCCCTCCCGGAGCTCTCCCGGAGCTCTCCCGGAGCCCTCCCGGAGCCCTCCCGGAGCTCTCCCGGAGCTCTCCCGGAGCCCTCCCGGAGCCCTCCCGGAGCTCTCCCGGAGCTCTCCCGGAGCTCTCCCGGAGCCCTCCCGGGCGGGGACGCCGCTCTGGCTCGGACGGCCACGCAGGAAAAGGCAAAATAATCTTTTCGCTCCGTGAGTACCCTGCCATTAAGGCAGCCGAGCGCTTTCCAAATGTGTTACGACACTGGAGCGGGCTATTAGTTTGGACGCGTCCTAATGAGTGTGTTAACATCCTTCTCTGCTCACCTTTTGGGCTAATTGAGGATGGCATCTGCTGAGTTTCTCTTTGCGCTTTGAAGTGTTTGTTAACCTGTGACAGTGATTGTCTTGTCGTGTTCGCTCCGTTTTTCATGTGTAAATTCAGCATGTGACTTGAATTCGGATGGCTGGCTCGTGGACTGGTGATTGTAGAGTTATTTACTCCTACGCCTCTAAGGTTGAGCCACTATCAAAAAGGTCTCTCTCAAGCTTACTGAAAGAGATCTGGAGGTCTCTGTCGACTTTAAAAACTGTTTACAATTGGCATCCTTGTTGGTGCCTTCAGTCAAAATGAGCTCTGAGCGTGGAAATGGGACTACATTCTTGTATCTAAAGGTGGTCCCTTGCAGGTCAAAACGGAGGCATGTTGGCATGGCCAGGAAACTCTCTGGGAGCGTGGATTCGTTCTTTTTCCCTTTATTTTTTTTTCTTTTTTTGTCTTTAGAGATTCTAAGCCTTGCAGTAAGGTGGAGCAGCGCAGTCCTCTGCTGCCAGTCCCGGCTGGGGTGTAGCTGCCCCTTCTCTGACTCTGCTTTTGGTTTTGAGGAAGTTCTTAATCTCTCTGTGACTCAGTGTCCTAATCTTTAAAATGACTTAATAAGACTTGTCACGCTTGCCTCCCAGGGACATTAACATCTAATTGATGCTCACGAAGTGCCTTGATCTGGGAGAAAAGAGGGCATCCTGCTTCCCTCATTTCGCCACTTTGTTTTGGGTGCTAATTATATTACTGGGGTGGAAAACAGATTATCTGACAGCCGAACTGGAATTCCTGTTCGTTCCCATTGACACGGGCACTCTAAGTGAGTGTATGCTCACACTTAGGTCAAGGTGTCTGGGTGTTTCTCTGAAAACAGCGGGGTTTATCCTTCCTGGAGGATGCATCTGAGAAGTTGCACTGAAGCAATAACAGACTTTTGCTCCTAACTCTAGAGATACTACACACTTCGTGTATTATGAGGTCAGTAAAGGTTTTAGGAATTAAAACCGTGTTGACTCAACTGTCAGCGTGTCCCTGATCTTAAATCTTACTCAGCCTGATTCTTACGTCAGTCTCGGTAAAACATACAAATTTATAGTTCTCTGCTTGAACACACAAGCTTTAGAATACAAAATCTGTCTTTTTAACCGTGTTACTTGCTGCTCAGAGGAGTAATTAGCCACTTTACTCCCGACTTGAATCTTTCCCCAGCCCCTCCTGTTGGCTGCTGCCTCCCCCTGTGCAGACAGCAGAGCCTGCAGTGGCAGGGGCAGGGGCTGCGATGCTGGGGTCAGCACACACCAGGAGACACCAGCATTCGTAAATCAGCTGATGCGAGTGGACACCCTGCCTCACAGCACCGGCACCGCGGTGTTTTTCACCTGAACCTTGGGCTTGCTGAGTTCCCAGTCCTTTCCCTGCGCCTTGGCTCCGCTGTGGCTCTGTGTGCTGAGGCTGCTTTGGCACACGGCATCCGACTCACGCCTTCGCTTCTCCTTTCCAGCTGCATTGTTCTTCCTGTGCTGAGCAGATGTGCAGCGTTGAGACCTGACAAATACAACTTTTAAAACGCTGTTTGATGTTTGGCAGTGCCGTTCTCTTCATGGTATAGGAAATGATGCTGCAGGTGCATCTTAGAGTGTGTGGTGGAGAAATGAAGTTCTGAAGGGAAAGCGAAGCATGCTTCATTCCACTTTCTCTTGCCGTGTGGTCTGCAGTAAGTGATGTGGCTATTCCTGCCCTGGCTGTAAAATCAGGTGAAGTCTTAACAAATTAGTGTGAAGAGAAGCACGCAGAAAGGGGGAATTGTCTGTTTCACTCTAAATTTCCTTCTTTGCTTGTTTCTAGTTAATTGCCTCAGTGTTGCTCTGAAGTTGTACAGCATTACCAGAACCCTGACATCAGGGTGCTGCTGTTTGTGGGGAGATCACGTTTCCTTCAGTCTCTCCTAGAATCTAGATGTATGATCTGAAAACGTTTGGTTTTTACTCAGATCTGCTGAAGCAGGGTTTTCTAGTCTCCTGTCATACCTGCTCCTCGTGGAGGTGAGAGAGCCGATGTTTTGGCTGGAGGTGTTCTTTAAGTGTAAGAAACCAAGAAACAGGAGAGGTGATTGCTCTCCAGTTTCTCATGAGTGTGTGTTAATTCTCCCACCTCTTTCAGCACATACCTGGTATCTGCTCTCTGGTATTTTATAACCAGTATCATGAAAACTCAAGGGAAAACTTTGGAATGCTTTGTTTCCCACTGGAAATTCCCATCTTCCACGTGGCTGTGACATTTGCTGTGAGTGCTTGGTAGCCTGTGTCTGTTCCTTCAGCTCACTCCAATTCCCCTGGCGTCACCAGAAAAGCTCTTTCCTAGTGGGAGAGGCTTTGCTTCTTAAGGGCATGGTGTGTTTTGATTCCTTTAAAATGAAGACACTTTCAGGTGTCTGAAACATCTGTCCCAAAGGTCCTTCTGATTCCTCACTTGCTCACGTGTGGGGTCAAGGAGCTTCACAGAGGCTGAGGGGCTGCTTTCCGTGGCTGTGCTGTGCTGGCCTGCATGCACCTCTGTAACAGGTGTGTACCTGTCCAGTAGGAATTCTGTGTGTGTGTTTGGGGTGTGAGCAAGCTCCTGGCTGCACCTTTCCTGTTCAAGCTCTTTCTGTGTGAGGAGCCTGTGAAGTCGGAGGGCGCAGCTCCGCGCTGTGTCTGGCGGCTCAGCGCTGCAGGGAGGGCACACTGCTCGTTTCTCATCTCTGGGACAGGTTTGAGAGGTGTTTATACAGCAAACTCACTCTTTCACAAGTGCTATTAGTAGTTCAGGGTACGTTAGACTGATTCTGGAAAATATAGATATTCTAAATTAAGGCCATTAAGTGTCCTCTGATTCAGTGACTGTGAAGATACGCAGTTAATATTGTATTGTGACACATTCTGGAAATTGCTGTGTTTATTTTTGACCTGGAGAGGATGACTAACTCTTTCATGTATGCATAGTTACATTTACAAGCAAGTAAAAACTTTCCCAAAATTATCTTTAGACTCCTAGTTCCATGAAAGGAGAAAAGTTCAGCTTGTCCCTAAGTCTGTGTGCTATCAAGCCCTCTTTCTGCTCTGGGTTGATAACCCCGTGCTCAGTGGGGATTATGGTTTTGGGGTTTTCTTATTTCCTCCAAATCTTTGTGGGCAATTTGCTGTGTGGGGAGAGGAACAAGAGCAAGCCCATTCTGTGTTGGGAAAGGTAGGTGGTACCACAGCACAAATTAGAAGATGCTGCTGCCATTATTATATTTAGTTAAATTCTGATTGTTCTTATTTCAGTGTCCCAGTAACACTGATGGCGTTAGGAGGAAACTTGGGTTTGCTACTTGCTTTTGGCCCCCTAGAGCTGTGATGGCGAAACCTGGTGAGGCAGGTGGTTTATGGAATTGTGTGGTGGAAATATGTGGACTAGATTTAAACTTTTGTTCTTGGCTCCGCTGAAATGATGGCAGCAGTTTCTCCAGCTGCTGCATTCAGCCAGGGGGACATTACCAATTCAGTTTTTAAAAGGACTGTGCCTGGCATTGTGTGTTGTGGAGTTTTGGCTTCCTCAAAAGCAGTTTCTTTGGATCTGAGAGTCCACAATAAATCCTTCTCAGACCTTTTAAGCTCACAGCTTATTGTGTGTTTAGACTGCAGTAATGGCTGCAGTTCATCGTTCTCTACTGCTGCCATCACCAAGCATCAAAGTAGAATTTCCAAAGCTGTGTGAAATTTTTGTTGGGAGTAGGCAGGGATGCTTTGTAATCATATTTAAGTAGTCTTATGGTAATTCAAGAGACTTTAAACCACCCTTCCAGTACCAAAAAAGGCTACAAGAGAGCTGGAGAGGGACTTTTACAAGGGCAGGTAGTGATAGGACAAGGGGTAATGGCTTTAAACTGAAAGAGGGCAGGATTAGATTAGCTATCAGGAAGAAATTCTTTGCTGTGGGGGTGGTGCGACACTGGAGCCATGATATTTTTATTATATAGTGTTACTTTTAGAGACTAAGGGCATTAAAATACCCAATTCTGATAATGTATTTTGTCATTTTCTTACCTGAATGTGACGCGTATAGCTGACTGGAAGGCTTTTAAATCTTCCAGGTTTTTCCTAGCCAGTACTGTGCAAATCATCCATGATAGAATTCAGCAAAAAAAATATGAACAATTTAGTAAACAGCAAAGCAGAAGGAGGAGATTTTTCCCCTGTCTTTGAGAAGACTGGTGTGTGGCAGATAGTGGAATTCTTTTCTGTGTGTGATCGGATAAGAGTGTATTGAAAGACCATAATCTGTGTTGCTGGCTGAGGTGAGCCCCATCTGTTAGTGGTGTCAGGGATGTGCAATACCCTCACCCTCCGAGCTCATGCACGCAGGGAGCAGCACAGAAGGATTTACAGAAACAAATGCAGGCTCTGAAAGCAGTTGCTAAAGGCAAAGGGAGGAATTCAGAACGGAATGCAATGTTCTCTGCTGACACCCCTTCTAGCTGAGGAAACCCTCTGCTTAAACAGGAACTTTACAAGATACTGGGTACTTTTCAGTTTCTGCTTATTCATAGTTTGACCCCCTTTAATACAGGTTCACCTATTGTACGTGCTTGTTATCAGGCTGGTTTTTATTCATTGTCTTTATGGCACCTTGTGCTGACCTGGGGAATAATTTAAAGTAGCAATCTGAGCTGATTAGAGTTAAAAATGGGGCTTGTGTTGGGCTTGGCTTCGTGGTGGTAAATATGCAGTGGGTGCTAATGACCCCCATGTCATCCTTCACCCCAGCTGTGGGTCAGACACGGGGGCTGATGTGCACTTGAACTGCCATTGCTGTTCTCCTCTCAGAGGTAGGGAAGGAGCGAGTGTCCTGACACAAGAGCTTACTGCTC